TTAAGGTATCAAGATGCAGTAATAAGTCATAAGCAGCATAAATACATGTTTTTTCTGAGGGGGAAAGTGGAAAGAAGAGTCTCATGATACATATAGTGTTTAAGAATTTACATACTTCTGCACAATTCCAAAATATAACTACACATCAGTAAGCACCACTGGACCTGTACAGACTAGCAACAGGACTGTCCATGTGGATATTACTTAGTGATATCACATCCAAAAAAATTACCACAGTACCATTAAGTGCTATGATGGTATTAAGTCATGTACCATTAAGTACACAAACTCAGTTGTGCTTCAGGTAAACAGAGATGGACCTCTCCTTACTCACCAACCACATTTCTCAAAGAGTGGCTGGAGCCTGTCCACAAGGGACTCCATTCCTTTCATGGACACAGTAGCCCATCATGCTAGAATCCCTCACCTCTTCCTTTCTGAGGGCCCAACAAATTCATATGCAGTGCAATGCAATTCTTCTCTTCCATTTTGATGGAGGAAGGGAAGAATGGCATCACTGAGGGCAAGAAGAGCGAATCCAGTCTGTTCCCAGGCACATCCCACCCTACTGCTAGCACAGGGGAGAGAAGCATGGGAGAAGGAGCTGAACGAACAGGCTCAGTGGAGCTGCATGATGCATGAAGGGACATGCTGGGTGTGCATGATAGCAAAATTATCAAAACAGTATGGATGCACCAGCATCCGATAGTTTCGGCACTGTTTGGAATTATGTTCACTTGGACTTGCATTGCCATGATGTCTGCATTTGAACCATCGCTTATCCAAACCTCACTAATTCACATCACCGAGTGCAAGCACTGGATCATTTCTGCAAATAAAAAGGCTTGTACAGTCAGGGCCTGAGGCAACTCCAATTAATTCAGCCAAGGTGATGCATACTGCAGGACTGGGGTGTTCAGCTGGAAATGTCTGACTATAATAACACCAAGGCATACAAGGAGCCTGTGATTGGGATTAACTGTTTTTGATATGGTTTAGGATTTTAGAGGTAAATATGGCAGTAACCAGAAAGAACATATAACTCCACTGATACAGCTTCCATAGTAAACAGTTCCAGAAAAACACAAGAGGAAAGAAAATTAAAAAAACCTGTTAAATACATGAAAACTGCAAAATAAATTTTCTTTACCTTGCATTAGAACTATCCCAAATATTGTCACATAAGTCAGCAACAAATCTCTTTGTGTTACATTATGTATATATTTCAGACAGTCAGGCACTTGTTCTTCGAAAGACTTATGCATGCACATAAAATTAAAGCGTGCAAATAGTCTCACCAGGTACTGATATAAGGTTCATGCCTTCACTTGAACAGCCATTTTACAAGCTTTTTTAGCATGCAATATTTATGTTCACTTTGTACATAAGACAACAATTTTAAATCTGGGTAATACAGGTAACCAGTATATGTCCAATGGATAAAAGTTCACACACGCACACGAAAAAACCAATTACATCACAAGTAGAGAGATACTCCACAGTATTTAAAAATTAACTCTTGTATCATTACTATGCAGTTCAGTACAAGTATTGAAATTTACTCACATGCTATTCATAGCATAGATGAAGTTTAATGGTGTTCAAGTGCTTCCGTGCTAGGCCCACTGTTTTTACAGTTTTCTAGGCTTTGATTTATGTCACAAAATTATTTGAGTTTGGAATTTTCATTAATGCAATTTTTAACTGTTTTGAATGCAGCTTAGTGGTTATGAAATACAGTTTAAAAATATTATATATACTAGCTCCCATTACAAAAATAAGCTTCTGACCTTAAGTTGAACAGACAAAGTAGCACAATAGCACAGGCAAAATCAGCTATAGAAAGAAGTCTCACAGAGAAGTATGTCAGAACTTCCCACTGAAAATATGTTTATATTTTACCAAGCAGTAGGACTTTAAAAAGACAGCAAGTCACAATTTGCACATGCATGAGACAACAGCTATGTCCAGAACTGTGTAGCAGTATAGGGATCAAGGGTAACTGACAGTCACTCAACACAAACATTTAATTTTGCTGAAAAATACACACCAGGTGAATGGCAAGGGGCATTAGCTAGACTGACTCTGTAACTTCTCTTTAGAACTATCTGGCTAAAGGGCAGAAAAACAACATTGTGATTGCATTGTTAAACACTCAAAATGAAGAAATAAGCATGACACAGTATATAAAACATTAGTGCTTTGTACATGCGTTGTCATAAAGATGTTCCACATAGCCTATTTTTTGCACAATGCAGAAATAGAAGCCAGCACCTAGGATGGCAATTTAGTTACCAATGGAGTAATAATCAACTGGAAAATCTCACCTGCGGTTTTCACTGGTAATTTGTGTGAATACAATTTACAGCCGAGTTTTCCCAAAACATTTTCAGAAAATTTTTTCAAAATTTAAGAAAAGACACTGATGTGCAACATACATTGTTTGAAACATTGTATAAGTTGCAAAACATCGAGTAATATACAACAAAGAAAATTAAATGGGACTGTAATGCCCATTTCTTGATACCTGAGTGCTTAACTACGCAGCCTTAACAGTATCCCGTTTGTGTTTTCCTTTTGACAGATTGAATTCCTAGAGTCTGCTTAAAATGTCAACATTTGAAATCTTGCAAGTGAAGACAAATTACATTCAATCCCAAATACTCATATGGCCAAAAGGGTATAATTAAAAAATTAAAGGAAGCAGTCATGCAGGATACTGGCAAGGAAAAGGTACTGAAGAAATTTTAGAAAAAGCATTTGACTCACCAGTCCATTGTTTGGCTGAGGTGAAAAAGGCAAACATTACTGAGATGCATCAGTGAGGAAGTTAGAACACAAATCAAGGCCCATGCCTGCAAGCACATGTGAGTAACTTCAGGCCCAGAAGCTCTTTCCGTGGCAAAGTTATTCATATGTGTGCTTGCAGAACCTAAGCTCAGATGTTACTGTTAGAGCAGAAATGCTACTTACATTTTGCTACTGATCTCAATAAAAATAGAAATTCACCTGTGTTTAACAGCAACTGTGTCAACTCAAGAAGACAAAAGCGCCTTGAGGTCTCACAAGGTAACACAATAATTGATCCATTCTAGCTGCTCCCAGTTTTTTGCTGTGTTGTTTTTTTTTTTTAACATAAGTCACTCAAAACACATCTAAGCTTCCAAATGGAAGCCTTCTTAGGTGTACAGCCCCTATGTGAGGGCTGTACACCCTACGGCACAAAGTGCTGTATCTATGTTTTGCAATGCACCAAGGTTGCTCATAATGCTAGGATTAAGCCATTATTCTTTTTATTGGATATCTCTCTGCCAAGCCTGACGTCACCCGAAACGTACAATATTCAGTTCAGTGTCTTGTTAAGTGTTGAGTCTTTCCAACACATGCTTGTGTAGATTTTGGAGATATGAACTGCGTAATAAACCTCACTAAGAGAAAAAGGACACCATGCAAATGTGTAGAATGGACCATGCATGTTTACCTGATTAGACAAACACTAACTATATATACAGTATTATTAAGGTGTATGTGACTAGAATGGATTCAAATAGATTGCCAGTTATGAACTACTGCTTGGAGGGGAAAAGGTAAGTAACACGTTTATAAATTCAGTGAATGGAAGACTTTAAAGTCTTTAAACACCAATAGTTTGGTAAGATGTAACTGATATGCTGTGTGTATGGAACAGTGGGCAATCAAAAATAAAAAAAAAGCTAGACAGGACAGCTGAGATTTACAAATAGTAAACGCAAGATCTGGGGATGATTGTTTCATATATCCTTGCAATGACGAATCACATACTGCTCAATTTATTATAACAGCATGCTGTTCAGATAACCTAAGTTCATACTGAGGAAGGTGCTGACAGGAGCAGCTCTGTCATGCACTCACTGAAATAAAGGAGCATACAAATCCAGCCAGACCAGGCACATGTGCTGCATTGAGTTGTTTGAGGATGCTTTGTGTTCTGACGTTTCCTCAGTGTATGCTTCATCACAGATGTCAACAAAAGAAGTACATGGAGTAATTTCTTTTTAAAGTCTCAGTATTCAAAAATGAAACGTAACAAAAGTAGTTAAGTTGTGAAACGCCAACACTAAACATAATTTTATCTGCCATTTGATATGGCCTTGATCCAGATAATAGCTAATTTTTTTTTCTGGGATGAAAGTGTATTACTAGGCAATTAATTAAAGTATTTCAATTAATTTATCCTTCTGATCAGCAAAAAAACCTAAATAGCAGGTATCAGCCTGACAGGAGAGCACTGAGTAGTGAAAAGGGTTGAAAATTATAACCAAATGAGGAAAGAGAAGGTAAAAATGGGTATATATGGCCAAAATGGGAGAAAAAGCAAAAAGGGACTACGGTGCTAAGGCCTGCAAGCAGGACAGGGCCAACATCTGTGCCCACTCCCGGACCCGCCAGCCACTGTCCCGAGGACCCGCTGCATCCTCTCCAAAAACGTGTGCGTGTGTAACATGTGTGTGCGCGTATATTTATGCGCCTCTACATTGTGTAACTATGCGCCCGGCGGGGCTCTCACTGAGGCACTGCCGGGCCCAACAGCGCTCGGCGGAGCCGCGGCCGGGCCGGGGCGCGGGTTCCCGGCGGCGGGGCAGTGTGGGTTCAAGCCGGCACCGGCACTGGCACCGGGACCGGCAGGGGCACGGCGGGACGGGCACCGGCGCGGGCAGAGCGGCCGCGCAGTGTCATTGCCGCCGATGGTGCAGCGCAGGCAGAGCGCAGGCCGCTGCTCCCGGCGAGGGCAGGTGCGGACCCTGCCGCGCCGGCACCAGCCCCGCCGGCTCGGGGGGCCGCCCGTAGCCCAGCCCCGGCTCCCCCGGGGCCGCCGAGCCGCGAGGAGGAGGAGGCGCCACCGCCGGGTTTCACCAAGGACAGGCCCGAGGTCAAGCCCGGCAGCCGCCCCGCCGCGGCCCCTTCCCCGCCGCCGCCCGCGCCGCCCGCCGCCTCCCCGCCCGCCGGCGGCGGTGCCTTACCTTGGCAGCCATGCTGTGCCCGGCGCGGCCACCCCTTCCCGTCCCTTCCCTTCCTCCGCTCCCCTCCCTTCCGACCGCGGCGCGCAGCTTCCCCGCCTGCGCACCAGCCCGCCAGCGCCGGCCGTCACCGCCGCTTTCCCAGGCAAGGACGGGGCGCCGCCCCCGCCCGGCCCCGCCGCGGCCCCGTGATCGCCCGGCACGGCCCGGGCCGGCCCCGCGGGTCCCGCGCTGGGCGCCGGGCGAGGCGGCGGGAGATGCGGCCTCGGCCCCGGCGGGTCGCCGGCGTTGCGGAGCGAGCACTGCCTCACCCCTGCGAGGGGACCCGGTCGCCCTCGGGACTCCTCCTCGGTAACCGCTGGTGGCTCAGCGGGCGCAGAGACACTCCTAACTCCGAGGGCCTCTGCGGCCGCTGGAGACACTGACCCTGTCGCCAGCTGGAGGCTCGTGCTGCTGACCCCAGGGATGTCCCCGCCGTGTGCCGGACTGTGCTGGACACGAGGACACCGGGACAAGCAGCAGGATACCGACACCTGCACAGCAAACCCTGATGTTTGCTTCCCTGCAAGTCAGGCTGCTGTTTGAGGGATGTTTCATCGAGTTGCAGCATCCCCAGTTATTCTGGGATGTCCCAAGAACGATCTGTGCCTTCAATCAAATTTTGCCAATGCTGTTTTAGTTTCCAAGTCAGCATGAGCATGACACACAAGCAGCCCCAGGCCTGTACCCGGGATGGCCACACGTACGGCACGCTCAGCACCACAGGCAGTTTGCAGACTGCCCACGGACAGCCTGTCCGGGCATGTTTGCCGATGCACCATTTGCCATGCAGGCTGTGGCTGCCACCAGGGCAATCGCCAGCGCTGCCAATGTCCGCTCTGGCTGGCCTCAGAGCTTCTGGCTCCTGGGGGGATTTTGGGATAGACTGGGGTCGGTAGAGGAGGCAGAGACCTTGCCCCGTGTGTGTAACTAAAAGGTTACTTGTAAGAATGGCTCCGGGGCAAGTTTTTGAGTTGATAATTATGTATCAAGTTAGTCATAGCTTTGAGGTAGGTCTTCCAGCACTTTCTCTAAACGGAGTTCTGTAAAGATATTAAAAGGGCAAAGGATCTCAAAGACAGATACAAAACAGGTTATAAAACAGAACAATTAACTCTTTAATTGTTTTTAATTGTCTTGGAGACAGTAGAGGAATGATCAGGGTTCCTAAATGCATCTTCACAGTAGAGAAATTATAAGGATTCATAAACACATCTCCACTTGCCCCCTATAAATGTTGACAGGATGGCTCTTTTTATGTTTTCAGTTCAATGAATTAACTACTTTCTGTGTTTCAGCAGACTGTACAGTCTCCCCTGTGTCCCTGTGAGGCCCAGCAACATATCTATCTCCTCAGCAGTTTCCCAGTCTCACCTTCTTATAAAAACCCTCCCACTTGCTGGATTCTCTTTCTTTTCTACCTGCCCCACATCCCTGTGCCTGCTGCATGTGCTCAGCTGTTCCATGAGACAGCACAACCTTTCTTGCTGCATCTCCCTGTCCTAGAAAATAGGAGACTTGGAGCCTTCCTCCAACCTGAAACACCTTTTCAAATAAACACAAGAAACAGATTATGTAGTGCCTATCTGCAAACTAGATAAGTAAATACTGTCACCTTGTCATAAATGAATAGATAATAGCAGTCCATTTATAAACAATGGAAAACAATCTCCAATTATTTTAATGATACCACCAAGAAGAGAAAAACTACATAGAGAAAATAGCATAACAATTGTCTTAGAATACAAATACAACATTCTGTGTATATTCAGAAGTCAGGATATTTAAATGTGAGACTGAAAGTCAGTCCTATTGAGCTTTATTTTTGTGAAAACGGGCTTCAATGGGACTTTTTTTTCCATATTAAGACTGCTAAGAAAATTACTACAATTCTCACGTTATACTGCCACATGGTCCTGAGCCAGTTGCCTTTATCTAGTCTGAATCTGCCTCACTTCCCATCCTTTGAGAGCTTCGTGTGCCTCAAGTCCTGAGCATGCCTTCAGCACTGCCTTTCTCCTGACAAGACTGGAAGGTCCTTGCCTTGTTTACATGAGAATCTGAGTTTGGCCTGAGAGGTCTCTGACCATGTCCAATGTGCACATACAGGCCCAAGTTCCTTATCTTCATAGAAAAGACAATGAAGGCTAAGGTCACATTTTAAATGGCATGCAATATGACTGTAGTGGATTATAGCACTCTCCTTGGCCACATAAGCAACTTGTTTTCAAAGTCTCCTGTTGACTGAGGTTAGATTCAGGCCCATGTGTCATACTCCTTTCAGTATGTTTTAACCACAAAGCCATAGACTGCTCTGGGGAGTAGAGGAGGAACATTTTTCATTCTTTCTAGTGAAGACTTGTCATTGTGCAGAGGAAAATCCAAGTCATGCTGGGAGAGAAGCATGACTCTTTTGTATGATAAAATGTAATGGGATGAGGGTAAAGTTGTGAGTCAGTTTTCATTACAAAGCACAAAAGTATTTCTTGGAGAAGTTAGGACATTGTGTCTCCCCAGCCAATGGGTTTTTATGTGTTTTACATGTAGCGCTCCCAAACAAGAGCACACTGATTCCAGGGCTCCCTTCTACAGTGAGAAACAACCTGGAGTTAGCTTCTTCTTGTTCCCTCTTCTGATACAGGGCATCTTGAGTTTGTTTTTACATACATGGGTTTTGCAGGAAGAGCTGTAGCTTGTTTCCAAAAGAAGCCACAAACAAGTATCTGGACACAGTCCTTTAGATGAAAAATTAGGCTTTGATTGTTTTCATGTAGAAGAGAGAATGAGAGCTGATTCCCTACTTGGTGTTTTAACTATTAGGGTGTTGTATAGCAAGGCAACTCTATCTCAATAGGCACATAAGATCTTTGCTGAGCTTGTTAGCAATTACCCTGGAGAGACTGACAGCCTGGGGTTCATGATTTTTTAGACTTGGTAAAGGACTAATAAAGAATTAACATCTACATGTTCAGTAGTGTAATGCAGAGCTCAGTGTGTCAGCTATTTTGGATCTTATTCATTACTCTATTACTGCCTTCGTTACTCTTTCTATGACTTCTCATACAATGTTCTGGATTTTGCATGGGCAGATGCATGCCAGAAATTTAGGCATTGCAGTGTGTACCTTAAAGACAAGAAAATATCTTCTTGGATCTAGAAAGATCCAAGTGCATCGGGGGAGGTCTGGAGAAGACTGGGTCAGGAAAATTCAGATCTGGAAAGATCTGGACGCACTACTTACCCTAGTGAAAGGCTGAGATAAAGCAAAGACTGACCCAAGGCCCTCAAGACCTGTGACACTATCCAAATTATTGAGCTGTTTTCTTCAGTACGTCTTCTCTCTGTCTCACAATATCGAAACTGTCTTCCAGGTAGCTTCTTTTGGGTTATATTGTATGTTCAGCACCATGGATATTTTGCTAACTTTCCACAAAACTTGCACCAAGTATGTTTTCACAAAAGTATAGCTTATAGTAGAAATAAACAAGTGGCCTCATTCCTAGTAGGAAAGAGCTGAATGTTAAAAAGAAATGAGTACAAGGTTTTCCTGAGCAGATCTCATTTCTTAAAACTCTTTATTGACTCCTGTCCTTCAGGAAAGTCTCAAGGAAAGGCAGGAAGCAGTATCCCCTTTCTTAGGTCAAGGATTTGGTGTGGGTTTTTTGTTCTTTCTGTGGGTTTTTTGTTTTGTTTTTAATAAAGGATGTCTGGCTGATGTGAATTAGCACATCAGTTTTAGTAACTCTTAGCCAAGAATTTGTGCTCGCACAGTAGGCCTAACCCTGAGAATTTCTCTAATAAAATAAAGTATGACTCAGTCTGAATGAATCATTCACAATTCTTCTTTCTCTGTTTGAAGGATATTCACTGCAGATCACGATTTCCTCAAATATATTTGCTGTTTTTCTGGTTATTTTATAACATTGTCTGATGATTGTCGGTATTTTCTTTTTTTTTGCTGATTTTTTTTTAAAGTCACACATATTTGTATTTTAAAGTCTGTTGTTTATCTGTGATTGCTGAGAAGGTCAGCCAAACACGATCTTATTCCCTGTTTCTTAGAACAAGATTTTCAAGCACTTTTATGTGCATGTCTAAAATTCATTGTCTATCAGTATTTCTTCCAGTGAAAAACTAAACTGGTCATTTAAATAGTTCAAGGAAAAGTGAATGTAAAAGCAGAATGCAGAAGTATGAATAATTCATTAAAAAATCCATACAAATGGTAGCATATTTTCATGGCTTTCCCATCTGAAAATGCAACACTATCCCCCAGTGTGTTCTATCACGTCTACCAGGAGAGTAGAATTCGCAAAGTTGGAAGGAGACAACTATGATTCTGTCTTATGGCTGATAATGGCATTTACACAGGCATTGCTGCTGAAAATGCTTTACCAGGGCTATGTTTTAGGAATGCCTCTGAAATAACTCAAGAAACATTGCTGCTGATGATGAGTAGGGGGTTAGTTCTTCTGTTGGTGTAAATTAGCATAGGTGGTAGATTTGTGCTGATTTACATTGGTAAATCCCAGAAAATAGAGGGGACATAGGACAAATGAAAGATACTATATTTATTTCATAAGGGAAAAATACTTCATAACTCAGGCACACCACTGGCATGAATAAGTTATGAAAAATCTTCACAGCCAAAAGAACATAATCATCCTTCATGTATAACAGATTTGTTTATTCTGTAAAGATTCATTTCAGTTGATTAATTATCAGTATCTGCTGATGGTGGAGGTAACAAGCCATCTCTGATGAGAGAATCATTTTAGGACATGCTCAGAATATTTTATCACCTAGCACAAGTTGTGTATGCTTAGAATATTTATCATACTCTGTACTAATAGTATCACATTTTGTAAGATAAGTACTGAATATAAATTATATTATAGATATAGGAGTTATCTATATTTTTCTTGGGTTTTATTAATAAGAGGGATATAAAAAAATAAATCACAGTAACAGTTGTGTTTACATGTCAAGTGCTGAACTGTGCTGCTGCATTAAGTCATTGTTATTCTGAACCAGTGAAAATTTGCATAAGTGCAAATGCCGGCTCCTAACAATAACATTAG